ATATCACTCAAAATCATAAATGTTAACCTTATGGTGGAAAAGTCAGGGGATCACCAAAGTAGGATTCAGCGTCTGGGCACCATGAATATCGATACAAAGTCTGGGGTGGAAGACATTCTCAAATCCTTGCTATGGCACTGTAACCAAACAATGATTCAACCAGGATCTAGCTCATGAAATGTTTTCAGTTTCTGTAATATCACGCTGTCGGCTAGGTCTTAAGAACAAATCCTCAGCTGCTGGAGTGCATGACACATTTTACTTGTTAATCTGCAGCAACAGAGGTTAATTTGGAATAAGCAGAAGAAAAACACAGCTGAACTGCCAATGATAAGAGGACCACCTACAGAAACTCAAACTTCATCAGCTTGAGCATCAAGGACACAGACAGTATCATTCATATTATCTGACTGATATGTAAAGAGTGCAGGGCAGAAACAAACCAACAATCAGCACCAAAGTTAGAGACATACTTCATGAGGAAAGCAGCAAAAAGCAGCAGCGATAAGCAAGATGGGCATGTGGCTAGTGAGGCTGTTATAAAGTTCATAGGTTCGATCCCCACCACAGATTTGTTTCTCAGCGGTGTCGTGTCCCACCAAATTGTCCTTGAAGAAGATGCTGCAGCCTCCACCGGCTCCGTGTTTACCAGCAGCACTGAGAACTGTGAAATGTAAAAATGTGGAATCGACGCTGTGTAAATGTTTCTGCCGTGTTACTATTTGACCCCCTTGCATTTAATGATGCATGTGTTTTGCAGCGACTCTGGAATATATTGAAGGAGGTCTCTAGAAGCCAAAGAATGTTTTGTAAAGTCTGCCTTTTGTGACCCCTATGAATGCAGTGTCTAGACTATGGCCTTCTTAAAACAAAACAAATCATTTTTTGCATTAAAACTTTTGTTGGAACCACTTGGTGAGTCTTGTACTGTGAGCTGAATCACATGTTGTTGTAGAGACATAAATAAATCAAACATATTGAAAGGTAAGTCAAGTTAACGCGTTATTAGCGCGTTAACGCATTAATTAATTATTTATTTTATTTTTTATCGCACGTTAATGCAATTTTTATTATTATTTTGAAAGTCCATTGCTCACTGGCTCTTAATACACATACAGTCAAACCAAGGGTCACAGGAGGGGTGGGATATTGATCAGCCTGCAAATCAGCCACCCAAACAAGCAGTGGAGGGAGGCTTCAGCAGACTACGCTGGATGCAGCATGTGGGAGAAGTAGATAAACAAAAGCAAGACAAGCGATCAAATGCTATAGCAGAGTGGAGAGCTACACACTGCGTGTTGATTAGTCTTGGGGAAGATGTCGGTCTTAGGAACGTTCAGGAAGGGACACAGCGCTCTGCGAATAAACAGCAGGCGCTCTATGGAGATTAACCAATGGCAACGGTTTCTTTGAGCTACACAGCTGTAGCCTTTTCAACTTGAGTTAAAGGCCTACATAACTTTACCTGATAGGCCTACATCTAGTTTTGCGGGGATGCTCTGCCATGCGAATTCCCTCCTGTTGATGTCCTGTTTAGGAAACAATAATAGATTCTGGAAACTCGCACCAGCAAGGATCAGTCTCTCTTCCAATGATTTGTGCTGCACGTCGCGTACAAAAAGTTCACTTCACCTCACTCTAACAGGGACACTTGCTACTGAACATAGACTGTTTATGCTGCTCCCTGATAAAAGAAAAATGTTTCTGCTGATACCTGTTCAAAATGTTAACCTGGCAGTGGCAGATAGCTTTGGTTCAATTAATGATTTGATTACATTAATGTTTAAGTTGAGATTTATAAGAAATATTTTATTGCTGCTGTGTAAAGGGAATACTGCTGGTAAAAAGCACCTTATTTGTTTAAAGTGTTTGCAAACCACATGTTATTGCACTTTTGTGTGAATAGCAGTACATAGAAATTAAAAGTGCACAATACACTACTTTAAAATTCATTATTCAATTTTGCGCATAACTATGCAATTAATCGCAATTTAAATTTTATTTAAATTTTAATCGTAGCCCAGAACTAGTAAAAAAATATCTTTATTATATTATAATTTCTACACTGTCAGTTTGACTCAGAACCTGCTACACACGTGGCATCCTTACAAATTACAACCACTGGCCTTGTGAGGTCACTTTTAGTAAAGGTCAAAATTTTAAACTCAAATGCAGCATTTTGGACACAGCTCTGTAATGCAAATCCATCCCAGTGCTTCCACACCCACTGTCTCTTTTTCCTGCTTTAATAAGGTCTATGTTCATAATAGCTCGTAATCATAATTCAGAATTGTGTGTAATTTGAAAAACTAGCAGCAATGGCCATTTGACAAAAGCCAATTAATGGCGTGTGTTTCCCATCAACGTGCTAAGTGACGGACATAATGAGAAATGTTGGAGAGATGTTTCTCAGTGACGTGAAGAATAGTTCACATGGAGTAGGCTGGAAAATGACGTCCTTTAGTCAGCTGCATCATTTGTATGCCAGCTGCTCTCATAGCGCAACAATATGATGGAAAGTGTTTTATAGTTAATTATTTCTGATTCACAGCTAAATAAAATATGTTTAGCTCACACAACTCTGCATATATTAAATGTTTTTAATAAGCTGATTTTATGCTGTTGGAGAACTTTGTGCAGGTTTTTATGAGTGACGTGGTCCCCCCAGCCATTTGACAGCAGTGCTCAAGTTAATGTGAGTTTACCTCTGAATCAAGGTTTGGTGAACTGAACTTTACTCATCTACAGTAACCTGTTTAGCTGTGATAAAGGTTCATGACTATAAGTAGATCAGCTACAGCCTAAAGCATCCTCCTGCTTTCCTATACAAGTAGATTGTTTATAACATTGGTTCCCAACTTAGGGGTCACAAAACAAATTTGAAGGTTCAAGAGATAATAACAGTATAGGGCAGCAGAGAAAACATTTTCCTGCGGCACCAAATTATGCTCATTTTGTAAGACATTCCTCTAATCTTTGACTTTACCTCGAGCACCATCGTGAGGTTTGCATTATAGTTTTTTTTTTTGTGAATGTCTCAACAACTATTTGATGGATTTTCTTGTATGTCCCTCCTCAGGATGAAGTGTAAAAACTTTGGTGATCCCCTAACCTTTCATCTAGCGCCACCATGAGGTCATCATTTTAATTTATCCAATACATTCTCATTAGTTTCAGCTGTATTCTGAATTTACTGCTAATAATCAGATGTTAGCAAAGTAAGATGGTGAAGATGGTCAACATTATACCTGCTGTCAGCATGTTAGCATTGTCAATGTGAGCATGTAAGCTTGCTGGGATTAGTATTTAGCTCAAATCAAGTAAAACCTTACAGAGCCTCTAGCATGGCACCTCAGTCTTGATTTCTGAATAATGTTACCACTAAAATGATTCATTTGTTATTTGGTTGAACTGATCACATGCATCAGGTGATGAGGAGGAACAAGTAGACATTCCTTCCATTTTTAAGCCAGAAAGGTTGGAAATCAATTCTGAACCAGAGTTTATGTTGTCCGCTGTCCAAGGTGCTGATCCTGGAACAGCCAGTGAGGCAGGAGCTGTCCACGTTAATTCAGCAATAATCTCTGAAAAACTCTGACAGGATACATCATGGTTAACAGGATGTGCTGTACCAAACATCCATGTTATTTTAGGAAGCCTGCCAGTGAATTCTGCTGTTTCCCCCAATAGTTTGCTGTTTCTGTGCACCACCTTCTTACATTTATCTTGGCCCTGTGTTATGGAGGACCACAGAGTCATGGAATAAAAGATGTTAAACATAAATAAATCAGTTCATTAATAAATGGGATTAGGAAAGAAAAGAAAAGGAAAAAGCAGAAAAGAATTCCAGTTTTCTGATTAAAATCTGTAATGTTGATTCAGCTATTTTTTTCTTTTTTCTTTAGTATTTTGAAAATAATTAAAAAATGTTATTAGGGTATTTTTAATTGATGTATTTATATTGTTTTCTGTATAAATCCCTTTCTATTAGACCTAGTTATTGCTAGATGTTTATATTAATATGTAAAATATTTTACTTACTTATTGTCCATTTAAATATCAAATAATGAAACTAGTAGCTTCATCAATTTATAGGTGGATTAGTTCATTCATCATTCATTCTTGTATTTAGTGCCACTATATAACCACTTACCTGTAGTCCTCCATAATCTCTACCTTAAGACTGTATCACACTGTAATAACGTCATTTTTTCCCCTCCTCATTATCAGTATCATGCTATGCAGTCTATTTAATTTATACAAGGTCTAAGGCTCCTTGTAGTACTTTGCATTGCTGAAAGGCAGGAGGCCCTCTGGGAGTTCGGGGCCACCTGCTTTGCGGGGGCTGCGGTTTTACACTTTTCAGATGTTACTATTCTGGTTTCAAGTCGACAAAACCTGGAGTGAAGATGCATCTCAACAGTGTGTTCTGTGTTGATCAAAGCTTACATTTTTCTAACCCTGATAGGTCATAACTGATACACCACTAGTCTTATGTAGATGAAAGGATTATGCATGTTGTTATTGATTGGCCCTCGAGGTTTCTGCATCATTCACATGGGACAGCATGCTGTTGGCTTGTTGTGAGCTGTTCTGTTTCTCTTCTCAGCCTTTGGACCATTTTTATACATACTGAAGTGTGAAGTTTACAACCTCTCTAACTATTTAATGTGCACAATAGTAAATGGGTTTCTAAGATTAGAGAAATGACTGAAACTGTGTGACAGACATATGATTATACACCTGAGCTGTCTTGCTGTGCAGAAGATGCAATTTACATTTTCTTCCCCCTAGCTGAGGCTCTTCTCCAGAGCAACCTACAATTAGAACAGCTGTTAGAATAATTGTAATTCTCACATCAATTGCATTACAAGCACACAAGAGTACAAAGGTCAGAGAAACAGCGTTCTGGAAGCCTCTACATATGTTTTTATTTTAATGCAAATGATTTTTTTACTTTTTCATGCAAATGAATAAGGGCTGTCTTTGTGTGTTTGCAGGATCCAGTCCGGCTCCTACCTCAGCACCGGCTGGTTCACGCTCATCCTCGCCATGGACATGTGCAAAGAGATCCATATCTATGGCATGATAAATGACACCCACTGCAAGTAAGATGCCAACTTTCAACCCCCCCTCGTCCATATTGGGATGAAAAATGCACACATCCCTACAAAACTTTGAAAACTAGATTCACATTCACAGCAGCGCCGGCCAATCGCAGCCTCCCATAACCGCACACTGCCCGGTTGGAATACATTTCCAATGCCTCAGTTTGGATTTAATGGCTGAATTTCTATGCTGAAATCCATATTGGGTTCTCTGTGCCGTGAATACCATTATGTTTTCCTGCCTAGAATACCCAGCAGGCTGCAGAGTCTCTGTTGCTGCGGGTGGCTGGGCTGCAGCACCCAATTCCTCCTCCTGCTTAAAGTTTTATTTGTATATTGGCCTGTCGTCTTCCCTCTGACTCTCGGGTGAGTGATTACTGTCTGGCTGCGAGGCCATAGGAGGGATGACAAACAAGATGCTGTTGCTCCAGGCATGGCTGCTCAGTCTCAAGTCATCTCAGCCTTCACGGGCTTCTCTGCTCTATCCCTACGCCTCCCCCCTGCTCTCGCAGCTCAACCTGAGCTCTCTCTATTCCCCGAATCAAACACTTTTACCTAATGCGCGGTGAAAATCCTGCCTTTTATCCTCTCCGTGTTCCCCGTGCACAGCGGGAGTTGAAATATAAACAACCCCAGACACATGACAGAGAGGAGTGATAATTCAACCAGCACGGAGAATTTTATGATTCAGTGAGGCAGTTAAGGGGTGGTGTTCTCTCCCTGCCTTTCTCTCGCTTATGTCTTTCCATCCTGTTTGAGACGAGGGGATATTGTGTCAAGTTCCTGAATGGACAATTTAGTGTCACACGAAGTACTGTTGGCAGCCGACTGCTTCAGTACAACAAGAAGAAGTGATGTTTTGTGTGACAATGTTCGAAGCTTTAGTCAAAATTGACCTCAGCAGTTGCGTGGTAATGGAGCTTCAACAGGTGCTGCAGAGAGGGTGAAATTGAATTTATTTGTTAACGCTGGTGAGCACCACTGTGTGACACAGAGAGAGGAGAGGCAGTGATTACGATGTGTATTACTGTAAGCTGGCAGACAGCCATGGTTGCTTTTTCACTGTGGACCCACTGACTGGATGTTGTGATGGCTGTTTCTCTTCTGTCTGTGTTCATTTTCCCAATGAAATTGTTACACAAGTCACCCTCTCATGAAGACGTCACTCGCTATTAGAAACTAGCTGCAGAGTGCACAGTTTATTCTATGGCTCCGTGCTTACTTCTGTTTTTATTGATTCCTTGCTCTTTGTAATGGTATGTGTTGCAAACTATGAACAGATTCACATATTATGAAACTCCAGTCAGAAAGGGGGTTTTTTGGGGATGTTTTCATATTTATTTTGGCTCAGAATCTAAATTAATCTTATCATGATCTTTTACAAATGCATTTTAAAATGCATTTCAAATACATTTTAGTTAAATGCGGATCTGTTGAATAAATTTGGCTGCCAAGTGTAGCTCCTGTTTTTTCAATAAAGGAGAAACCAGTTGAGTGGAATTTTTTTTTCCCAGTGCAGCATCAGTTCAACTACTGAACACTGTCCTGACAGATCTTCACTTTAATAGTTTCATAATTTAGTTTGCCTTTTATTTCAAGGTTTCTGAAAATGGAATGGCCCCTAATTTAGTCTCCCATGCAAAATCATATTGAATCAATATACTATTATATCTATATACACACAAAAACCACATTCCAGTAATAAGCACTTGAGACAGATCAATCAGAGCAAAAGCAATTTTCAATATGTATTGTATGCCTGGTGTGGAATGACAAATATCTGTGTTACTCAACATGTAAGAACAAAAAATACTGTATTACTTTTTAATTTTTAACTTGGGCTGGGGGATAGTGTTTAATTGATTATCAAAACTGATTTTACAATATGGCAAATCAATGCAAAACAACTAGTGTTTGACCAAAGTAATGAACTGTTTTCCACTGTTCTGTGTAAAACAATAACTTCAGTAACCAATTTTTTTTAGCTTTTAATTGCAGCTTGTTGCTTGTTGAACTAGTTGGCTCATGGGAACATACAGTTTATAGTAATGACAAAAGAGGACATGAAAGAAATTAAATGATGTCCTTGTTTTTACAATAAACTGGGTAAAATTATATCTCTCTCTGCTTCTTTCCTTCTTCCCTCTCCCCTTTAGGACGGAGGGTAACAAGAAGGTTCCCTACCACTACTACGAGGCAGGCAGCCGGGATGAGTGTGCAGAGTATCTGCTCCATGAAAGCGCCCCCTACGGTGGGCACCGCTTCATCACAGAGAAGTCGGTGTTCGCCAAGTGGGCCAAAACTCATGCCATCAAGTTCTTCAACCCAACTTGGCAGCTGTCGTGACCCTGGCTGAACCAACATGGAAATACTACACCATTATCATCATCATTATTGTCATCTGGGGACCAACTGAATCTCGACACTGACAGAAAATGTGTTCCCTAATGTGCGGCAACATTCATTTTTGGCACAAATTAAACTCCATATACATTACAAGAGGTTGGTTGAGGGTTGTTTGTCAAGTCCTGGATGGCTAATCCAGGAAGTCCTTGGGGTTTTATTTAATTTTTTTTTTTTTGGGTCACTCAATAAGACAGAATTACGGTTTGACCAACCCGGACAGCAAAAACATATCTTTCTCAGAAATTAAGTATTTTTTCTCCTGAATCTGAGAGCTGAAGAAAGTGTACAGCACTCCACTCTTCATTGACTAATGGATCCATTAGCTGCTCTATGAGTTTAGCAAAGGGTGGCTTGAATATTAAGAAAACAACAAGAAGAAGCAACAACCATGCATCAACTTGCAGTGACCTTAATGGCTCACATGTCCGCAGGCGCATCGGAAAGGCTGAATAATTTTTTTTTTTTTCCAAGACTGTAGCTGGAGAAGAGCTCAGCCGCTGCAGAGACGAGTCACATTGCCATGGACGTCTGTTGAGCTCGTATACTACTGCTTTCTCTGCATGTCTGTCTTATTCTGTCAGGCTGTAATTAATCCATAACAGATTCATTCATGTATTCATCCTTGACTGAGGAAGTATTGAAGTTTAGGTTTAATTTCACTGTTGCGTCTAAGGAAGCTTCAGCAAGCAAGATCCTTTAAATAATAAAACACAAGTGAGCAAATTTCAGTCAAACCCGAAGGTAAACCAGATGTGCAGATGTGAGTCAGCTCTTTTTTATCGTAAGGCTTGGTTGTTGTGCTGTGTGTGAAGTCACACAACTTACAGATGTCAGCTTTTTTTTCTTTTATAATGCTGTGAAGTTTCATTGTAAGAGACATGTTTTGGCGTTGGCTTGATGTCCAGATGGGTTGCTAATTTATTCTGCAGAGATACGTTGCTAACTCTCTTTAACAGCGTGCCATTGACAGCATCACATAGAGCAATGTGCAATTTGAAACTCCATCCTTATGGAAGGAGTTAAATCATTTGTGACCCTGTAGAGGGAGAGATTTATGTGTGCAGTGAATCTATTTGAAGTTAATTGTATTCTATTATCATTTTGTGCCTGCAATATACTCTGCAGTTCATTGTATAGAGACAAGGTAGAGTCTCAGTCTCTCTCTCACTCATATTCTCATCCAGCTTTGTGCCTCTTTGTGTACAGTATCACTGTGTGAACACATCCTCCCATTTGTCTTTGAAAGTGTGCACGTCTCCTGGTTCAGGACATTACATTTGAATGCATCTGTTCCAAGACGGTGAAGAATAGTCAGTGAAGCGCAGAGGTGTGTAGGTTGGTTGGTAGCTGTGGAGGGCTGAGACACTCTGGCTGTGACCGTGAACTGCCCCCCCCCCCCCCCACCCCCTCCGTGATTAGTGTCCGTGGCCCAGAAGGGAGGAGTGGAAGGATTCAAAGACTTCTAATTTAGGCGATTTGATGCACAAGGTCCCTGGCGACTGTAATGTACTGCAGCTGAGCGTCACAATCTCACTCCTACTACATTGTACTGTTTGCTATCACTCTCCATTTTAGGCTATCTGTCAATAAGCAATGATTTGGTGATTTACAAGTCAAAAAGACCTATACCGTCAAACTGGCAGGTTTTTGGATGTCTTGGCAGGGCCGTAGCTACCAGTAAGGACTCTAAGGTCATGTTCAACTTGGGAGTTTACATAGTGTAATGTGGTGAGGATTTTGTAAGCCAATTTCAGTTCAACCTCAATTCAGAATACTTAATTCAGTATTAACACAGTACACATAAACAATCTCAAAAAATTATACCCAAACTTATCTTATCTGAGGGTGGTGGGGTGTGTTTTTCGGGGGACTCGTGACCTCAGTATTTTAAAATTCATATAACTATTGTTTCAACAACATTCAAATGACTAAAATCCAATGCAGACCAGGTCCTAACTACACATTGAAATGTATTTCTTGAAATGCTGCTGAAGAAATACTTCTATAAAAACTTCTATAAAAACTAGCCCCTTCCCACTGCACTAACCTTTTAAGGACCCCATGAACCTTTTAGGAACTCTTCCTGCATTTCAACCAAATAAATAGTGTCTACATTTAGTTCCTGGCCTGTGGGTAGCACCTTCAGGTGGTCCAGGAACCATTAAGCAGTGATCGGACAGAGTGCAGTTTTTGCAGTGAGAGGTGCATTGTTGCATTTGTGGTTGAATATTACATTTCAAATGAAGCTGTCATTCTTTAAGCCATTATCAGTCCAATCAGCTTAATCTTCACTGTTTTTCGGATGCAAGGGAAACAGAAATATGCAGTTCAGTTTGTTTTGTTTTGTGAGTGTTTGGGTTCCTTAGCACCTAAAGCTATTTGGTTGAACAGGGGACTAACTAACTTTTCAAGCAAATTTAGTATGATTATGTCAAAGTACTATTATCAATTTCAAGAATTAACCTTTCTTTCAGACTGTCTTGAAGTCAGAGAACAGCCACTGAGTTTGCACGTCAACTAATCCATCTCCTTGAACGGAGCAGTTTCTTTGCCCTAATGAAGACTGTGTGACAAAGCTCCAGACAAAGCTAATATGTGGCAGAATGTTTTTAGATGTATTCCAGTTTTAAGTCGGACAACTGTTTTGACCTGAGATAACCATCCCCCCCTGCATCTGGGTTATTGTGTGTCAGCTGCATGATTGCAAATACGTTTGGCTTCTCTTGCTTGAGGACAAGTAAATTCTGCTCTCTCTTGGTTGTCCAGACAGAGCAAGGTATCCTCAAGATTTACAAAGACTGTCCTACAACTCAAAACTCATTGTAAGTCAACCTAACCGGCTAGAGCGTCAGCAAAATGTAAAAGCAATCCGTTTTAAATTCCTCCCGGTGTAGGTTAGCGTATAGGAGAAGGATATAACACAGGTAGGGTCATGGTTCCGCTTTCCTCTGGGACGACACGTGCTCGTGGGGTATGCTGTAGTCTGGTACTGCAAGCAGCTGCAGATCAAATGTTTCCACCACACGATATATGTAATGCAGAAACGTCTTACGGTAGTATTTCCTGTTCAGGAAGCCTGAAGATAAGATTTGGGCCTCAGGGAGAGTTGGAATTACACTTCTTTCTGTTCCTGTGGGAAAAAAACCCCTGATGAGGCTCGAATTCATACAGTATGCCATGCATGTTACATGATTAACGTACATCTTTTATACATTTCCACTCAGCCCGTGATTGTGCAGTCATCTGGCAGCTCTCCACCACTCAGTTTTACCTCTGCTGTACAGTATATCCACCATAAATTGTAAAGCGCTTCACACCAAGATAAGATATGAAGTTGTGTGTTATGGTGCATTATTTGAAAATTGCAGCAGCACCGTGTTCCTTCTTCTTGTTCATCTTACATTCTCCTTTTGTTGAGGTTTTTAAAAAATAATGTTTTTATTTATTTATTTTTTTGATGCAGTGGTTTCTGTGCAGTTCTTTTTCTGCTGCAGGTTGCATGTTGCCAACATTTTCTGCTGTTTCAGGCTGTGCTCTCGGTTATTTTCTGATCACCAAACACTCCGTTGTTCTCAGCTAGAACACACAGGAAGAATACCCACAAATGTATTATACAGGATATTATGGAGAACACTCCCTCCTATAGGCTCCCATGAATCATCTATGGCTCACAGGAGGAGTAGACACATTCAACAATAAGTAACACAATGAATAAAAGTGGGAGCAGAGTTGGAGGATAAATATTAAATACTTCTAATTTTCAGAGATTTATTTTTAATTTCAAGAATTTTTTTTTAACTTAAGACATGTTGGGAAAAATGTTTGTTTGCTTTCTTGCTGGGACTGAGAAGTTAGTCTCGTATCCATATGGTAAATATGAAGTTAAAGCTTAGCTTAGCAGAAAGACCTCTAGCCTGGCTCTGACCTGAGGTAAGAAAATCTGCCTACAAGCACCTCTAAAGCTCACTATTTAACACATTGTATTACATTTTTTTTATGCATATAAACTGTGTAAAAAAAATGTAAAACCAACAATTTCTTTTACTGGTGGTTATGTGCCGGGCTATTTCTTGGCTCTGAGCTGTTGCCAGTCAACTAGCTTAAGACTCCAGGAAGTTGCGGTACCTGTCCTGTCCATAAAACATTGTCTTCTTCAGTGGGATTTTGAATGAGGTTTCCTTACTTCTGGAACAGAATATTTTGGTTTCGCTCTCTATAACCTGTCACTTTTTTAGGTTTTAGTACTGAAATGAGATTACGTGTAAATTAGCAAGCCTTATTTGTACAGTGCCAGGCTAGCTGTGTTTCCCTGTTTCCATGATAACCAGCTGTTGGCTGTAGCTTCATATCGACCATACAGATATGAGAGTGATATGAATTTTCTTATCTAGCTCTTTGTGAAAGTGAAAATTTCCCAAAATGACTTAAATTTCCCAGATGTTTTGTTAATCTCTGATTCAGGTTTTTTTGTTTTCATCCACAGCTTAAAAGGGATCATTTAAACTGGCCCCATTTCAGCAGTGAAATTTGCATGGAAACGGCTTTCACCCATCCTCAAACCTGAAGCAGACTTTTTTTCTTCTTTGTTTTTCTTCTTCTCTCTTTGTACCTTGCTATATATTGCTTGGCAACAGACATGGCAGCAGAATGAGCTCCTATTGTTAACTCGTTGTATATAATACAAGTTAAGTTATAAGTTAAAAGGCAAATTGAAGGTCACTTCTCTTAAAACAGAGTTGATTTTAAAAAACAGTCCTGATTAAAACGCCTCGGTCTGGAGGAACAAAGATGTGAATGTCATTATTGCGTTTTGCTCTCATTATTTTGGCTCTTTTTTTCCTGCTGTGATCAGTGGAGGTAATTACTGTCTGTTTTGGGGTCAAGAGTTCAGATTTAAAAAAACTGTTGATTGTCTGACTGCACGTCGAAACCTTTTCAGTTCAATATGTAGCATTTTACTCGTTCCCCCTGATTGTTGTACTTGTTGCCATTTTCTCAAATGCCTCAAGTGCTTTCTTGCGTTAAAAAAAATTATTTTCTCTTTTCCTGTGTGCATATCTTACGATTGTTTTTGTGTTGCAAAGCACTTTTCTTTTTCATTTTCACGTCAAGTGTCCTTGTGAAATGTGTAACTTTGGGTGTGTGTTGAGTTACATAGAATGTAATATAACACTGAGGTTATTATAATGAAAGAAAAGTGTTTTTTTTTCTAACACAGCTAACGCACTTCTTTTATTGGTGGTGAAATAACATCCAAATGCTGCATGGATTATTGCAGGTTATTGAAATGTACATTTTGTTAAAAAAAAGTAGTGATTATATGTGTTATCCTGTCATTTGCTGTCGTCTTATTAGCTAAAATTAGATATATTGTGAATTTTCTTATTTTTACCAATGTGCATTCTGTTCTCTGTCTTTTATTATATGTGAGGATTAAAGAAAACCTAAAACCCTGTTATATGATTAAATTCTTTTCAACAAAACAAAACAGTGTAAGCAGCATCAGAATGTAAGAAAACCTGGTGAAATGTGTTCATATAAGAATGGAGCCTGAGTTGAGCTGTCATCTCAAATCTGGCATCTCATGAGATTTTAAAACATCAGTGAAGGAGCAGAGATGTGCTGAGTTTGGACAGTTCTCAGGAGTGTCTGTGAGCATGAGACTTTTATGTAACCTCTGCATAAACGAACAGGAGTCTGAAATAATGCTCACATTCATGGATTTTATGCTACAGTAATGAATAAAAGATCAAGATGAAAATTAAAGGTGCACGCCAGCAATTTAGTAGTGCACTTTCTTAAATTTGAGGAACTCACAAGAGACAGATTAAAGAAAAGAATGGTCAAAAGTAAAGCTGAGAGATCTTGACTTTTTATTGAGCTCCAAAAAGACACAGGATCCTGCATTTTCCCTCCTAGCCTTGTAAATACCAAATGTCTTTCAGCTTATTTGTAACTCAGGCTTATATCATTCACATACTACTAATTTGCAACAGGAAATTTTCAACCAATCCCAGCTGACATTGGGCGAAAGGCGGGGTACATCCTGGACAGGTCGCCAGTCCATTGCAAGGCCACACATAGACAAACAACCACTCACGCTTGCATCTAAGGATAATTTTAGGGTCACCAATCAGCCTAGTCTGCATGTCTTTGTCATGTCTTATTTGATTCGTTGTCCCTACAATATCCGCTTGTTGCAGCTAAAGGATGATTTAACACATTTATGGCCATGTTTCGGCAACTTAACCACTTGGTGAAGCTTAGCAAGAGATACAGGTCTTGTTAAAAAAATACAGTAACAAGGGACAGTGAGATAGAAGGTTCTTTTCTATATTTAACCTAAACCACTATCTTTCCTTTACCAAACCTTTACCCAAGAATATTTGTAGGCTAAACCTAGGCCACGGTAACGACACAAAGGATGCAGGAGGCAAATTTAGGACTCCTGTGTTACAATCTTTTACTTTGTGCAGCACAAAAAGTTAACACTTGACTGGAATCCTGAAAACCACACAGTAGTATGTAATGTAATGTAATATTTCGGAGTCAGGGTTGTTAGTCTCCAAGTCTACTCGCCAAAGCCGCGTTTTCAAAGGCTGAAAAACTCCTCATAATTAGTAAACTGACCTTTAAGTGCAAAACTGGTGGCGTTCCCCTTTAAATATGGGTTGTCTGAGCTGTGATGCTGGATGTTTCATGGCTAACTGCAGAAGTGGGTGGACAGGTTTTATTTCAATGGAGCATCTTTTCACTCTCATTTAGAAAGAAACTGTCACGTAGTTCCCAAGCTGATGCTAAGTCTTGCCTTTTGTGGTATTTAGCAGAAATGTTCTGCAGAACAGCAACGTAATCTTCAGTGTTCTTGTACTCCCTTCCTCCTTTTGTCTTTAGTGTAATTAATTTAGTTTGAGTTGTTGTCTGCCTGAGCTGACCAACATGTCTCCAACCCTGCAGGAGGGATTTAGTCACAGAAGCCGATGTGTTCATGAACATATACCTTTGCT